GGGCCACTCGTATGATCAAGGGACAGCAGGGTAGGTCCTATGAGGAAAGGTTGCGGGACCTGAACCTGTTCAGCCTTCAAAAGAGAAGGCTGAGGGGGGATCTTGTGGCCTGTTATAAACTGGTTAGGGGGATCAGCAGGCGCTGGGGGAGTTCCTGTTCCCCCGAGCGCCGCAAGGAGTGACCAGGAACAATAGTCACAAGCTGGCGGAGGGAAGGTTTAAGTTGGACATCAGGAGGCGCTACTTCACGGTCAGGGCGGCTAGAGTCTGGAACCAGCTTCCAGGTGAGGTGGTGCAGGCTCCCACCCTGGGGGTTTTTAAGAGGAGGTTGGATGACCACCTTACTGGGGTCATTTGACCCCAGTGCTCTTTCTGCCAAGGCAGGGGGTCGGACTAGATGATCTGCTCAGGTCCCTTCCAACCCTAGAAACTATGAAACTATGAAACTCTTTGAAGCAATGGGCACTGGCTGTTTGGCTAACATCCTAGGAGATGGTTGCTGGTATGCTTTTTGTGACCACCTCTGGTCAAGGACTTACACGTGCAAATACAGACATGCACCACAAACATATTGTACGAAGACTATATGTATTTTTCCTGCAACTGATTTTTCCTGTGGCATGAAGCCTGCTTAGCAGAAAGGTGATGATATATTTTATAAAATAACAAGTGGAATGAACCAAGCCCTACAAATTAATTTGTAGGAGAATTTTCAAATGAAATTAGGTTATCTTTGTTTTATTGTCTAATAATTGATTCACACATTACACAAAAAAAAGGGGAGGAAAGGAGAAACTTCCAGGAAATGATTTTTTTTGTGTCCAGCTGTTGAATCATCTCCATACAAATGGGATTTGGTCCCCATTTTGAATGGATTCCTTTTTTTTATATTTTTTTGGAGAATAAGATGATAAGTATATTTAATCAGCACTAATGATAATCTCTTACTGATCAGAAAAAAGTGAGATGAAATGTAGCACATAGGGAAAAATACACTGAAAATCACCAAAGCTTATGCTGATGCTGAGATGCAGAAGATTGTGAAATGATTCCTCCTGGAAGGTGTGGGAACCATCATCTCTTGGATCATTTAAAACTGAGCTGCTGCATAAACCAGCAGAAAATGTACTGCAGGGAACAATTGCACTTTGGTCTCCAGGGGAGAGAGAAGGTGATCTAATACATCTTTTCCACCTCTAATAGTAATTTCTATGCTTCAATTAAGCTAGGCAAACCTTGAAAATAACCTTTGGTTTGCCTGTTCCTTCTTTTCTTTTTATCTAGGGAGAGGCTGCGTTGTGGATTTCAGATGTTTTATTTTCTGCTTGAACCACTCGAAGGTGGATGACTTGGGGAAAACTGTTCCACAGCAGCAGAGAAACAGTGCAGGGTCCATAGCCTGGATGGAAGGATTCCCTGTCCTGTAGCAAGACTTTCTAATACCTCCGACTCCTGGCTCCTTTTTTATTGGAAGCAACTAGCTCCGGGCCAGAAGAGACAGAAGTGCATTCTGCACTGACAGTAGAGGTGCTCTGAAGATGATTTTGTGCCCCTTTGGTCCCTCCAGTTTTGCATGAGCGCTTCTTGCAGGGAGTGGCGTTGCAGGGAAGCTTCAGACAATGGAGCTCCGAGTGAAAACTGGCCTCCGGCCAAAGCTAGGATTTCTTGGTTTATTCCCCTTCTTTCCA